AGATAGATAGATAGATAGATAGATAGATAGATAGATAGATAGATAGATAGATAGATAAATAGATGGATGGATGGATGGATGGATGGATGGATGGATGGATGGATGGATATAGCTATAGCTATACATAGATAGGGGATAGGCAGGCAGACAGACAGAGACCCAAGCAAAGCTTTCTAGCATTCCAAAGATGTTTGGCTAAGAGAGAGAGAAAGAGGAGGATGGAGACAGAGAGAGAGAGAGGAAAGAGAGAGAGAGAGAGAGAGGGAGGGAAGCAGAATATACATATATATCTCCTCTTCTTCTCCAACATCCTTGTGAGGTAGGCTGGGCTGAGTGAGTGTGACTGATCCAAAGTCACTCAACAGACTCTCGCACCTAAGGTAGGACTAGAACTCAGTCTCCTGGCGATTGGCCCAAAGTCACCCAGCTGCCTTTCATGGCTAAAGCAGGACTAGAACTCACATTCTCCTGGTGATTGAACATCCAGCTGGCTTTTATGGCTAAGGCGGGACTAGAATTCACACTCTCCTGGTGATTGGCCACCCAGCTGACTTACATGGCTAAGGCAGGACTAGAACTCACTCTCTCCTGGTGATTGGCCATTCAGCTGGCTTTCATGGCTAAGGCGGGACTAGAACTCACACTCTCCTGGTGATTGGCCATTCAGCTGACTTTCATGGTTAAGGTGGGACTAGAACTCACTCTCTCCTGGTGATTGGCCACCCAACTGACTTTCATGGCTAGGGTGGGACTCACACTCTCCTGGTGATTAGCCATTCAGCTGGCTTTCATGGCTAAGGCGGGAATAGAACTCACTCTCCTGGTGATTGGCCCAAAGTCACCCAATTGGCTTTCATACCTACGCAGGACTAGAACTCCAGTCTCCTGGTGCTTGCTAGAATTTATCCGCCTAGTGACTCGCTACATCATTCTTTCTGGGAGGGAAATTTGTTTGGTACTCATTTTTGGTACTCATAGCGCCTCCCGGAACTAATTAACCAGGAGTGCCGAGATGCCTCTGTATTGTATGACGACAAAAACCCGCAAACGCTTCCCACGCGTTTTTAACGTCTTGTACCTTCCGCGGATGACAATCTGGCTCATCGAGGCCAACGGGGCAGAGGAAAAGTTTGAAACAACAGCTAGGAAGGAGAAATCACCGTCTTACCGTCATCTTATCAGAACAAAGCCGTGATGAAACCCAGTTATCAGATTGGGGTTTTTAAAAAATAAATAAATATAAAAACCTCAGACTCACGTTGATGTGATCGTCCGGAAGCGCTCCTGTCCTGCCGTGTCCCAGATCTGTAGCTTGACTTTTTCCCCGTTGATTTCAACTGTCCGGATTTTGAAGTCGACCCCAATTGTGGTGATGTAGCTGCCTGCGTGGGGAGGGGAAAAACAAGAGCACGGAAATTGCGGGGGTCTCTGAGGGTGCTAACAAACCCAATTATAGACAGTTGGCTGCTCCTGAATGCGGCACCGTTGACTGGGAATCCTTTTTTCGGCGGCTGACAAATGATCTAAGGGGAAAATATTCTTGGCCTCTCACTGTTTCCACTCAGCCATCCTGTTGAAATTAAATTTTTAAATCCCCAAGAACTCTCATTATTATTTTTTAAAAAAATAAGGGGGGGGGAATGTCTCCATTGTCAAGCTATAAAAGCATTTTTAACAGGGAAGGAAGGACGATGCTTAACTTACCCTGATCATAAAAATAAACAGCAGCCCCCCTCACCCCAAAGATGAAATGACAATTAAAAGGCAAGTAGTGAAGGGCCCACACAAAGCTACCATTGTGTCGTGCAAGGCATCATGCATTCATGTATGTATGTATGTATGTATGTATGTATGTATGTATGTATGTATGTATTTAGAGTCACAACCCCTGGTATGCCCAAATATGGAAGGAAGTTTACTGCTTCCATTCTCTGTCTATCGGCTCGTCACAAGAGAACATCTAGACAGAAACCCAATATTTTNTCAAAGACCTCCATTCTTTGGCTTCCTTCCTTTTCATTAGGTGGCCAAAGTATTTGAGTTCCCTCTTCAGGATCTGGCCTTCTAAAGAGCAGTCAGGGTTGATCTCCCCTAGGACTGACCGGTTGGATCCCCTTGCAGTCCAAGGGACTTGCCCATCTTACTATAGGATAACTCCTTAATAATCTATTTATAATGTAAACATTTTCCATCTATTACTTCTTGTCCTGCCCTCAGGTGCTTTGGAGAAGAAGTTGACCCCCCCCCCCATCCTCTCTGTGACAGTCCCAGAGATATTGGAAGCCTGCTATCATATCACCCCTAGTCCTTCTCTTTCTTGGACTAGACACACCCAGTTCCAACCCTTCATCTTTCTAGAATCACAACATTTTTTTTCCCCATTGTGGTGACCAGAATTGGGAAGTGCCATTTCAAGTATGGTGTCACCAGCGCCACAATATCTCAGTGAATTCTGGGGAATCTGAGTCATCCTTCAATCTTACTGGCCAAACTAATCTAACATCACAAGTATCAATTCCTTGTTTCGGTCGTGCGAAAAGTGGCACCCTTCAGATTGATGTCTCAAGGACAAATTTGAATTTTTCTTCCTTTGCTTAGCTTCCATTCTTGTTCCTGCCTTCCTGAGCCTGGGGCAAAGCTAACAATAATGATAATAATAATAATAACCGTTGCATTTGGCATTTTAAACATCGTCTGCTCTAAATCAAGTCCTGCCCTTTTACATACAGGGCCTGTGGTGAAGGCATTATGTATAGAGCGGAGATATTTTAAGGCCGCTCAAGAATTCTTCCAAAGCAGCCTTGCAATGTCTATTTAAAGGAATGGAAATACTACGCTGGAAATACCTTTGCCTTCCTCGCAAGAGACAATTCTCAGATTTCTTTGAGGAAAAAAAAATCAACAACAGACCATTGAGCCAGTGAAAATATTATACTGTCAATTCCAAATTTTTCCCTAGCAAAAAACCCCCCGCTTGAATGAAAAGAGAGAGAACGAAATGGATAGAACCGGCTGGACGAATCATCCCTGCTAGGATAAGGCGTCAAAGCATCTGAATGATTGCTGTACCGCCCCCCCCCCCCCCCAAACCCCCAATTTTCAGGCAGGCTATGAATCACAGCTAGTTTTGTTGTTTCTTTCCCTGAACTTGCTCTGCCAGGATTCTATGACAACGTCCGGTATAGAAAAGAAAACCTCA